ACGCTATGCGTGAGTAGTTCTTTTATTCTAGTTCCGGGAATGTCGAACCCTATGAATTGACGATGTTTTGATCGATTTTCGTTGTTGATAATTTCAATATTTTTTGGAATTGTTTGTGTTATTTTGAATAATTAACCATGATGTGTTGAGTCTTATTTAGATTGATCACCTAGATTAGGCTTTTCATCTATATCTGAATTAGACCTTCAATCCGTAATTGTTGTTGTGTTTAATTTATAAGAGGCAACCGGAAAACGGTAACTACCGGGGATAACGCGGCCTATTTAAGTGAACGAACGCAGTTGAGTTCACTACTTAGTCTAGCCTATTTTTCTAATTCGTAAAGCGGCTAATTGTATTAAATCTTGAAAACGTTTTTCTGAACTGTACAAGAAGTCAGGTTTAATCGTAGAGCGTCTCGCGATTAAAATAAAAATAAGGAAAAATTCGGGTAACAGACCGTGTCATTGCCTAGGGCTAGTAATTCCATAAGATAGCGAGATTTTTGATACCAAAGTTGATTAGACGAGTCTGTCGAGGGTGTAGACGGAACCGTGAACTAGAAAATTCTCTTATTTATTTTATTTTATTTTTATTTTCTTGTTTAGATTTTATTTATTTAATTTGAATTTTAGGTAGTTTAGTTATTAAACCAAACCCCCCATTTTATTGCTTTTTAAAATTTCAATTAATACAAGAATATCACAATTTGATTCACACTCCTCGTGGGATCGACCCTTACTTGCCACTACTACTAGTTAGTAGAGGTTAATTGAGGAAAAATATAAATTTTAATTTTGCCGCGTTGCGACGTGCGGTCACTCTAGTAGGTAGATTGACTGCTGCTTGACCCTCTTCGATGGGGTCGATCATCAGAACGTGCTTGCGAGGTCTACTTTGGCAACAAATGTTCGAGCGTCACAAACTCACTTTGTCTTCCTTCCTCCTCACTTGACCATGTCTCGGTGTTATTCTGAGCCACGAGGATCAACAAGGATGGTATGGCCATGATACATTCACGTGCAGTTCGTTGATTTCCATAATGAATCCCCATGCCTTAGGGTGTGAGATGAGGTAATAATTGAAAATGGATACTGCAGTGCGGAGTTTATACAGAGTTGTTCTTCCTAGAATTGTGTTGTATTCATTCTTGCGGTTGATGATCATAAAAGTCTCTAGGATCATTTTGTTGATTTGTCTATCACAGCCAAATAGTATGGGAAATTACCGGGAGCGTTGTTCGACCATCACACGTTTGATCTAATCATTGCATGTCTGGAATTCTTTGATGTCGATTGCCAATGGTGACCCGAATCTTGTGAACTGGATGTAGTAGATCAACGTGGTAATGAATAACATATTTGAATGAGGATGATCGAAGGGTACAAAATCTTCATCCATGAAGGTGATCGAATTCGTCTGAATGATAGAGGAAGGTCCCAAAGAGACTGGTCGTCTCTGGTGGTCAGAGTTATACGCTCTTCTAGTGTATGCCATGAGTTTTCTGTGGGACTCGACTGGTTCAACTCGACTCGTATATATGAGTCTGATTGGGGAATTCTCTCTAGATCGCAATCTGCATTGACGACAAATGGATCAGTGGGGTGAAATATAAGCTCATCTTTTCGTTCGGGAAGAACTTGCTTCATCCTCCCAGTTGTGGTTGTTCTCTGGCCCTTTTCGGATTGACTTCTATATTACGTCATCGTTGTTATATAGAAGGTCTTCGACCTCTTTTCCTTCCCTCCGGATTCCAGGTGAATTCTCAAACTTTAGAATCTCCAATCAGCTTCAATATTGCCGTTGTGAGATTCCTACACTGATAGGTATTGTGTCAATATGATCTGTGTTATTTAGTACCAATTTTTGTTTAACTGGTCTTCATTTTGCAATGATCAATCTCGGATTGGATATGGTTTCTTTATTCTTCATTTCTTCATAAACCACAGTTTTTCCCAGCAGAGTAGAGCCTTCGACAGTTAGCAGCCATCTCTTCCTATTGTTGCTTACATAAGGCTCGAACCTTGGTTGTTTGGGTTCCCTTTGTTGGACCATGATTTGGTTTGGAATGTTTTGTCTTAAAAAGGCCAAACTGTTTGACATATCAAACGACAGGTTGGACATCGATTCTTCAGCAATCACGTACTATTGGGCCGATGCAAGAAATTCAAGATAGGTCTGGGGCTTGTTCTGGCATAAGGACCAACGGAACATGTATTTCTATTTTAACTAAAAATAATATGACACTACTCCATGTTTTGTTGATAACACAACTCCATGTTTTGTACCCGCTTGTTGAACCGAGCAATATAATCCACCAGACTTTCCTCGGCACCATAAACGATATTGGTGATGGATTCCTTTAGGATCATGCAAACTTGGGACCCAATAAAATAAGATTTGAAAGTCGTCCTCAAATGTTCCCATTGTTAATGGAATGGGAAACAAAGAGTAGTAAATTCAATAAAACATTCGGCACATGAGGTTCTCTGGCCCCATGCAAGTCCATCGAAGATGTGTACAAGCCAATGTAAGCATTCGGGTGAGAGTTTCCATCATATAACCTGATTTGTGGCATTTTTACCTTTTCTGGCAGCCGAATATACAGACGGGGCAAACAACTCTGGTGATGACGACGGAATCATCGTGGCCGTAAGATTTTGCTGGGCTTCTAGTTCAATAATTTCATTTTTAGGGTTGCGGCTGTAGAGATATCTTCCAAAATGGTTCAAATCATACGAAATTTATCCCTTAGGTCGGGTTTAGTTCGACCATGTCTCAACCTATGAAAAACTGTTGGAGTGGTGGATCGAGTCTCCAGACCGACTTTTCCCAACCTCTTATATGCGTGTGTGAGGAGGGATAATCTCTTTGTGGCTTTTAGGTAGATTATTGTGTGATTGATAAGGTTGGGAATGAACTGAGGCTTTTCTTTCTCGGGAAGGGGATTGGTATCTTTTTTAGCAGTAAATTTTGGGAGTGTTGATGGCGAAGGTAGAGTTTGTGAGAGTAGACTAGAAATTTCTAGTAAGAAATCTAAGTTTTGGAAAAGTGCCACAAAATCTAGGGTCGGATTAAGGCGAGGGTTTTACTAATTTTGTTCGTCATCAAGAGATCCTGATGGAGATTGTGGCTCGAAGAAGACATCTTTCCTATAATAGGTTGATTATTCCGATGATGTTACACCAAATAACAGATGGTCCCATTCTTCTAGCGCTAAATTGTTGCCCACTGAAATTTGATGCAACAGGAAAATAGTGTAAATTTTAGTAAATTGCAAAAAAGTGAATAAAGTTAACGTGGACTGAGCTGAAAAAGTAATTCAAAATTTTTCTCATTTATTACTTGAATGTTTTAAAGTAGGGTACAATTTAACTTGTTACAGTTGGATCCCTCAATAAAAATATATGCTATTTATAGAAAAATACAGTGCACACGTGTAAGTCTCCTGCATGTGGTAGGTGTTAGTCTACATGGCAGAACGACTTCTTCATGTGACATGTGTCTCGACATAGGGCTAGTAACCATCTTGTCAATAATCATTAGAACAACTAGATAACATTTAATTGGATGAGTCAATTACTTGACATTTTGAGTTCTGTTCGGCTTTGTGTCTGACGAGACATCTCGTCAGTGTCTTGTCTTCATTTGTGACTTCATTTATGGATGTACAGCTGGACTCCACATTCGAGGAACTGCTTCGTCAGGCCAGTCAATGTTATTCCCTACGAATTAATTCTCCAATATCGTAACGAGATGGTTTTAAAATAATTCGTTTGTTTTGCCATTCAGAGCGATTCGATTTTCTTTATTTTTTATGATGAACTCATGTCACATAGGAACGTCTCGATTAGGTCGGTTATCAACAAATCTATATTGGAAGACATTCTTAATTAAATACTCTTGTTGATTCTAGTTCGATTTGGAAGGATATTTACGAACGATTGTACATCATATTCTATCCTATAAATAAAGGTTTCAACTTTAGAGTCCAATCGCATACAATTCTAATATTTCTTCAAAATTATGATTTTCACGTCACATTGTCACCAACAATTACTCCCTGCACCAAGCTAGGGAAGTTGAGTTGGAGTCATAATTTTCATTTTCTTTCTCCAACAATTATTAAAGCAGTTAAGTTGAGTCATGATTTTCATTTTCGTTTTTTATCTCCAACAATTATTAGAGAACATGCTACATTATTTTTTTTGGAACACATTAGTGATAATATCTATAATTAATGTAGAATTGTTCGGAGTAGATAATGATATAGCATCCAGAATAACTCGGGTTGATCAGCCAGCGTGGTTAGCTTGGTCCTAGTCAGTTCAAGAGTGCTCTCAGCCCGTTTTCAGTATATATACCAGTCAAGGAGTCCCCACTTAGTCAAATCAAGGCATAGGTGGGTCCAGTCCGAATAGCTAGGAGGTCGTAGAGCCTGAGGAGCTCAAACACTCGAAGGGACCTCATGACCCGTAGGTCGTAAAGCTGGATGTCGTGGTTGCTACCTAAGTACAACTTATGACATGTAAGTACAGAGTTCGTGGGGAGTTTGGAAAGTAGATACGGAAAAATCTCTTTTCTAATTAGGACTCTTTTAGACATCAAGCTACCCTAAGGGTAACCATGTTCTTTTACTCGACACATCGCATATACGTACGTTGAAGTTACATACTACTAGTTTTCTAACGAGCAAATACTGACTCGAACGTTAAAGGTTTTCCGCCAAAGCCCCTCCCTTGCGTCTGTCAGATTATTGGAGCTCCGAGCTGGTGGTTGTTCGTGAAATCGTGTTCAACTCGGTTCAAGGCAATTTGCTCATAAGATAATTTAATGAAAAATTACTAAACATTTTTTTTTTTTGAAAGCTTTCACGTTGTAATTTTGGTTTGATGAGGATTTAAAAACCAAGGTAGAGTAACATGAGAATGATTTTCCCCCTTCCACCCGACCAAATATCGTACTAATAAATGAGGAGTTAAAATATAAAAACATTCGGCCTTCCCTTTGCGGTGGAAACATACAATATGAAATACAGCAACAAAATCATGATTTGAGGCAAATCACATTAAAATCACCCTCCAAAATATTGGTTCCATATCCAGTTGAATTATTTACATAATAGAAACAGACAAGACAACATTATTTAAGTTTCAGTTACCGTGGTTGGCACACTACTAACTAGCATAATAGTATAACCTCCAGAAGAGTTTCAAAGGAAATCAAAAGAGGCAATACAAGACATGAAAATATTCTGTGTATCGTTTCAGATTGCATAAGTTATTATATTAAAGCTCCTCATTTTTATTTTATTTTACATTTTGTCTCGGATGGAAACCCACATAACTAGGTATTTGCAGCAGCCTGAAAAGCTTTTAGGAAACTCTCAGGTGGTTGGCCTCCGCTCAATTGGTACTTCCCGTTCACCTGCCAATTGCCATTGAAAAAACTTAAAGTTCATTGTTTAAAATTACAATTACGCTATTCTTATACATATTGCACCTATTGAGAGTGCTAATTGAGAAATGGATTATTTCCTNAAAAAAAAAAAAAAAAAAGAGAAGAAATTATTAATTTGAGAATGGTTAAAGAGTGACTCACCACATAATGAGGGACTCCACTAATGTGGGCCGAGTGTTGCTCGATTTCTTCATTAACCTTCAAGAGAAAATATAAATTTTAAGAGGAATTGGAGATCTTGTTACATAAGTTCAAAAGAAATAGCACTGTGTAGTTTATGAACATTAAGGCCAACAATTGCAGGAATAAAGACCACTAAATGAAAAATGCACGGTTCACTCTAATGTACACCATGAGGCATTGCCATAAATTTTATTTTATTATTTTACCTCATTTACCCCGTTGTTTGGATCTTCAAGAAACTCAGATGCTCCTTCAATTCCAACCTTTTTAGCACTCTCCACAAGGAAATCCCTTCGAATGCAAAGAGGAAATGATAGTTTTTGTTATGAAAAATCGAAGATTATTCAACGCCACTACGATGTCAAAGGTAAATTTTCTAAGTAATGACAATGTTATAGATCCAGATTTAAAAAACCAAAAAGAAGTTTCAAAATGACATAACAAAAACCCTTGAACCTTTATTTTAACTAAAAATTCAAACAAGAGCATAAGGGTGTTTTTGAAATAATTTTTCCCATGAATGAGAAAAACAGAAACTCTGAGACTATCAGAATTTGAGGAGTCTTGAAACTTTCTATTGGTGTTCCCTATTTTTTTCACTCCCTTTTAAAGTTTCTCAAATTTAAGGGGTGGCTATTTGTAGATTTGCTCCAAGGTATTTAAACTTCAATCATTACATTGTGTTTTTTGATTTGAAAGAGGACTATAACTCAGTGTGGATTAAATCGTCTATATCCATTTGTGGGTGCACGGCCCAGGTGTTCAAATACACCCTAGATTTCTCGGAGTCTCCCTTTGTCCCAGTCTGGTGCTGCCTACCAGGCCTCCCCGCGCTCTTTTTTGACCCCATTGCCCTTATCTCGATTGCCACATGCATTGGCAATCCGATTGATGTTGATGACGCCACGGCCAACAGGTCAAAGTTCTCTATCGCACGGGTATGCGTTGAGATAGATCTGCATGGTAAGCTCATTGAGGAGATTGAGCTCTCCCACGGAGAAAAGATCACCACTCAGAAGGTGATCTATGAGAGAGTTCCTCTGTTTTGTACCCTCTATGACCATGTTGGTCACACACCGACTGATTGCTACATCAAGGGCAGCAAGCCCTGACCGTCACTTCCTTCACGCCACCGAGTGGCTGGATCGGGGACCTCAGCTATTCTGAGGGATCCTAAGGGGAAGGGTAAGGCCCCTGCCCGAGCGCCTGAGTCCTCGAAGGGACATAAGGACAAGGGCAAGACGGTTATTGAGACTCCTTACCAGGGCAGACAGGCCAGCCAGCCTAACCACCCCAAGGGAGTTACCTTGGACAAACCAAAGTCCAGAGCTATGGGGTTGTTCCCTCGACAATCCCTCCATTCGGCACCCGTGGGCGTTCACTCCTTCTTTTCAGTCCTCGCTTCAGATACGGAGGATGAGCCTGCTTTCACCTCCAGCCACCCAGTACACTCAACTAGCTCTCTCCTTGATGATGATGACCTCTTGGACGACGAGACAGGACCGTTGGTCTCCTTAGCTAATAGCCTTCATTCCCCTCTCATCGCCTCTAGCTCCCATACCAATGCGCAGCCTAATGACCCCTTCATCTATATGGAGGAACCTCATGAGCTGAGGTCCCCTCCTGCCTCCACTCCATTAGTTGGATCGGAGACTTTCCCTTCACCCTCTCCTGCCAGTGAGCATTTGGTGGTGCTCACAACCAGACCCTCCTCTCCGACCACAGTTGGGGGCCTTTTTGGCCCGGACCTCTGATCGAACCCCCCAGGAGTCGAGAGACACACCCACCCATGACCTGGCTCTGATCGTTGCAGGGCCGGGAGGCCCCCAGTTGCCCCTATTGGAGGACCTCCAATCGGAGAGCCCAAATCACCCCCGGACCAGATCCCTGGAGGATATTCTTTCTGACAGTCCTTCTCACAACCGCCCTCAGACCAGATCTAGGGCCGCGCGACGCTCAGCTAACTGACTCTTACCTCTCTTGACAGACACAACCTAGCCACGGGCAGAACCAGTTAGGTGGCCCCCTCGACATTTGATATGTCAGTCACATCCCTAACTTGGAATGCCCGTGGCCTAGCTGATAAGGCGACTCTTGCTCACGTTCGATCCCTAGTTCGTGACCATAGTATAGACTTTGTGCTTTCCTAGAGCCCATGACCCATAACCCCTCGTTTGACTTATATTCTCGACGCCTTGGTTTCCACTCCGGCGTGCAAAACATATCTAACAAGATCTGGTTCTTTTATTCGCGAGACTTTACATGTCGGATCATCCGTGATACGGAACAGGTCCTGCATGTTGAACTCTCTGCCGCTCATCTTCCGAAACCAATCTTTCACACTCTGGTCTATGCCAGCTGTGCGAAGGTTGGTCGCTATGATCTGTGGGACACCATGCGTGAGATTGCGGAGAGTATGGAGGAATCACGTGGCTGTAGCGGATTGCGAGTTAATTGACGCTGGATATGAAGGTTCGCCATTCACGTGGGAGAGGGCCGGAGTTAAGGAGAGGCTTGACCGTGCTTTGATCTTTGAGGCATGGACGAGGGTGTTTGCGGTCATGACCGTCACACACCTCCCTCGAATTAAATCTGACCACGCTCCCCTTCTTATCTGGTGTCGGTTTTCGAGCACCCCACGTCGCTCTTCCTTTAGGTTCCTGAACATGTGGACCCGCCACCACACGTTCCAGGACACGGTTAGGGCATGCTGGCTCCATCCGACGGGGCTTTTTGGGATGTGAAACCTGGAGGCGAAGCTTGATAGACTGAAGCAGTGGAACTGGACGGTATTTGGCGACATTTCTCAGCGCTTTGCTGCAGCTCAGAGTGCGTATGCGGTTGCTGAGCGAGCTTATGACTTGGATTCGTCACCAGAGAATAGGACCGCGATGCGCCGCTGCCATGTTGAGTACCAGCTCCGCCTCCTTATGGAGGAGGATTTCTGGAAGCAGAAGTCTGCGATTCGCTGGGTTGCGGAGGGGGATCCTCTATCCCCCTATCTTTTTGTCCTGACAGCGGATTACCTGTCTCGTTGCCTTGACGGCTTTATTCGCGACTTTCCTAGGATGACCTATAGCACGCGTGAATACAGTCCTCCCATCTCACACCTATCTTATGCAGATGGCATTATTATCTTCACTCGTGCGGATAATAATGGAGTTACTGAGCTCATGCGCCTCTTGGGGCACTATAGCTCGGCTTCCGGTCAACTTGTCAATGTGCAAAAGAGCACCTTCACCCTTGATCAGCATATTGCGGACCAGTGGGACCATTGGGTCCACGAGCGCACTGGCTTTGCGCGTAGAGACCTCCCCATCACCTACCTTGGTGCCCCCTTGTACAAGGGTCACCTCACGCATGAGCTTTTTTATGACGTTAGACAGAGGCTGATTGACCGGATCTCCGGTTGGTCTCACAGGCACCTATCTTTTGGGGGCCGACTTGCTCTGATCAAGAGCACCCTCAGCACCCTGCCGTTTCACCTCCTTACAGTCCTTGATCTCCACAAGTCTACTATCCACGAGCTAGATTAGATTCTGGCCCGTTATTTTTGGGGGCATGGGGAGGGTTCTCGGAGAGGGAGACAGGTCCATTAGGTGAAGTGGGACTCTGTTTGTCGCCTCTTATCTGAGGGGGGTCTCGGATCCGGCCTTTCTCGGATGTCGTCACTGCATTTTCTTACAAAATGTGGTCGCGATTTAGGGAGGGTAAGTCACTTTGGGCATAGTATCTTCGCCGGAAGTACTGTCCTGGAGGCGCTGCCCATCCCTGTCAGGTGATGGCTACCGCCCGCGATAGTAGGCAGTGGAGGCGGCTCACCAAGGTTGGTAGACGTGCTCAGGAGCACATTTTTTGGTCTCTGGGGGAGGGGGAGGTTAGCTTTTGGGATGAGTGGTGGTTCGGTGAGGGCCCCCTTTCGAGCACTAGACAGGTCACCCACCTTCCCTTTCTACAGGTGAAGGACCTGTGGACGGAGGGGAGATGGGATAGGGATAGGCTAGAGAGGATTCTGGGTACTGGAGCGGGCCTTAGTGATCAGGTGATAGATAAAATCCAGCAGAATCCCATCTCGGAGGACGGTTTGGACGGTATGAGGTGGAGGCTTACATCTTCGAGTGCATTCTCTACGACCTCGGCTTGGGGGGAAGTACGGCAGGGTGACCGGCCTAACCTTCTCTTCGGAGCCATCTGGACCGACCTACTTACCCCTACTATATTTGTTTTCCTTTGGCGCCTCCTTTTGCGCCGCCTACCGATTGACACTGTGATGCAGACGAGGGGGTTCTCCTTCCCCTCGTGTTTCTACTGTTGTGCTGAGAGTGACGATTTTCAGACAGAGACCTTTATCCACCTGTTCTTATAGAGCGAGATTGTGAGGAGAGTGTGGGAGCATTATACCAGTTACACTCATATCCCCCTACCCTCCTCTGATACATCCTTTCAGCTTTTGAGTTTTTTCAGACACCACACACACATTAGACACTCGAGCTTCCTTATTCCTTGTCTGATCCTTTGGGCCACCTGGACAGAAAGGAATAACGCGAAGCATAGGAATAACCCTTTTTTGTCTTCTCATATTATTTTGCAGGTTGACCGACATCTTTCCCTCCTCACCGCTTTGGGCACTCACCCAGAGAGACTGGACAGGCTGCACGCCACCTCACCACCTTGCACCACCTCCGCTGGTGCCTGTCCAGCATCCACGTCCCAGAGCTGTTGTTTGGCTGAAACCCGAGTCGCCTTCGGTTAAGCTGAACACTGATGGAGTCTTTGATCGACTTACTGGAGTTGCAGGAGGTGAGGGCCTGATTAGGGATCATAGCGGCGCCCTTATTGCCGCGTTTCATGCCCTCTTCGGGCCTCCTCGAGCTATGACGCGGAGGTTCAGGCGCTTCAGATCGATCTGCAGATTGCCGCCTCGATCTCTTCTCACATTTGGATAGAGTTGGACGCCGTCGATGTCATCACTCTTCTGTCATCTGGACATCAAGGCACGTGGCAGATCCAGCACCCTCTCATGCGCATCAGAGCCACTCTCCAGTCGATTCGCTCTCGGATCTCGCACATCTTCCGCGAGGGGAACCGGACAGCTGACTTCCTCGCTGGCATCGGGTCCTCTACCCCCCATAGACACATTCTTTATCCTAACGACATTCATATCCGCCTCCGCACCGTCATACGGATGGACTAGATGAGATACCCTTCATTCAGGTTTGTGTAGCCGGACTTACCTTTTGGCGCTCCCGCCACACTGTCATGCTGACTTTCTAACTGGGAATCCCCCCGGATCATGATATGTTGTTTTCATATTGTCAGCTTTCCTCTGTATTTTTTCTTTTCTTTGTTGTTTTTTGGTTTTTCATTTGATTGGATGTATATCAGACATTGGACTTGTAGTTTTGTGACTTTTTAGTCCAATTAGCGCATTTTATATACAGGTTGGGGTTCTGCCTCAACCTTCCACCCTACTCGGGTGTTGGTTAAAAAAAAAAAGATATTCTTCCGAGGGAAATAACATGATGTAAAAATAAGAAAAAAAAATGTAGTTAATTGCTCTCAGACAGACCTGTCACCTATGTACTTTCCCTGTGTGAAGTAGCCGAGGTAAAGCTCTTCAACGAGTTTATGTTGCTTGTCGAGCCCTTGTTTGCCAGCAAAATAGATTAACCTGTGACTATCCAGAGTGTTTCCCCTGCATATTATCAAAAATCATTAAAAGCAAAAACGTGCTTTTAATTTCACGCGGGATGTAAATACTAAACATAATCAAACTTCAGACACCTAAAGCATTTCTATAACTGCAAATTATATTTGATCGTAGCATAATGCAGATTTAAAACTGAAATTCACATTTGTGATATGAAAACTTCATTTGTGAACCGGAACTACTAATATAATAAAACTCACGTAAGTCCAGAAGTGTCGTACTCCAGTCCAAGGCCTTTAAAAATCTGAGAGAAAATCAGAAAATTGGTAATTATGTTTTCCTCATATGCCATCATGAAAAAATACAAAAAGGAAATGACAGATTAAAAAAACCTCAGTCATTCGCGCTTCCATTTGTACAGCTCGAGGCCCAAACTTATTAAGGTAAAATTCCTTCTTAACTACCCCTTCTTTAGGTGCTGAAGGATTAAGCATATAAGGATGCCAATTGATCTGAGATATAAAAGCAAATAGATAGGGATTAACATAAAAGGAAATTATATCCAGCCAATTTAGAACACACAACGGAAGTGAATATAAACAAAGTGTCAGTACTGTTTTTGGACCTCAAAAGTGTATCTATCATCTGAAGAAGATATAGCTTTGTCCAAATTCTTTTTCCCCACAAAGCACCACGGGCATACAGTGTCAGCACTCACGTCAATTTGAATAAGTTTCTTTGCGCTGCCATTGTTAGACGAGGCCATGATGACGAATCTGAAATATTATACGATCAATTAAATGGGAATAAATATAATTTACAAAAACTAGTCTTGAAGTTTTAATTGGATTAGAAAAAAACAGAAACTCAACTATTCACGAAATAAGATCAATTCTCAAATTTTGTGATTCTTATGGAATTCCCCAACAGAGCACTTTGAATCAACTCATTACTTAACCTTGCATAACGATAAAAGCAAATTCAGAGAGATTTTTGTTTTCTAGCTTTGGCAACTCATTCATCTACAACCTAATAATTATTGGGGTATTCTCAGTTTCAGACAAGAGAGATGTCTATGCTGCGCAGAGTAACACATGATTTAAATTTTGTAATGTAAGAAACATCAATTGTGGTGTGTAATGGGGTTATCCTTTACATTCATCCAAGATCTGTGAGACATGTAACCAAGAATCCAGAAAACAGGAACTAAACAGAAAACGTATTTTCAGACCAAATCTTCAGATTAAGGTTACCTGGAATTTTGGAGACAATTGAAGCGCATGAAAATGTCAACAAACTTCCCTCTTCCAAGTTTCTATCTTGTGAGATGTGATGACATAATCTCATTTGACTTTGAATAAGAAAAAAATAGTGATAAGCACGCAACACTATTAGAGCAATTTGGTACAAACAAAGAGCTTAACGCTTTAAGCTACGGAGGAACTACACACATTCCTCGAGTATGAAACTCCACTAAGATCATGGTACAGCCACGGCCGTACTCCATGTGGCGGATGGTGAAAGAAGTGATAGCCCAACGATCCTTCCGCAGCAAAAGAAGCCAAGTGGTCGGCTGCAAAATTCGCTTCATGGACTGCATGCGTCACCTTAATCCGCCAAGTGCGGCTTAAAAGTTCTTTGATGCCCAAAATAAGACTAGTATGCACTCCCGGCACCTCATCAAGGGATTTCGAAAAAATTCCACAACACTCGCACTGTCGACTTCTGCTTCCACATGTCGAAACCCCAAATCCCACGCCAAGCAAAGACCCTGAAATAATCCCCATAGCTCCGCCCCCATTATCGAGCAGTACCCAATTTTCATTGTGAACCCACCAAGCCAACCGCCTTGCTCGTCACGGATAATGCCCCCGGCACAGCCCATGCTGGTCATCCCATTAAAAGAGCCATCGGAGTTGACCTTGACCCATCCTGACGAAGGCCGCTCCCACCTTATCCACCGTGGGACCCGCATGTGGCCCGACCTACCAAGCGTTCGGTCGCACTGAAGAATCGTTTTCAAACTCTCGATATATGTGGTTATTGCACGTACACCACTAACCACGTCCCTAGCTTTGCCTTGAAAGAGGTGTTCATTTCTCCACTTCCAGAGTTTCCACACCACAACCCCAAAAGTCCGATCCCAATTATTCTCCTCAATTCCTTAGGCATCAGGTTCGAAAAAACCCACGGGTCCAATTGCCATGCAAAAAAAAAAAAAGGTAGCGTGGTACTCACCCGGCAGCAACCGTCTGGGAGCTTTTCTCGCACTTGGTTCCGGCCGCGGCTCTCCTCCAGATTGCAGCCACTCCGCCGCTGCAGCCTGACTTAGGCAGGGACCATTTATTTTGGGGACTCTTGTCTACGGGGAAATTTACCACCAAGTCGGCATACGACCTAGTAGCAGGGGAGAAGATGACGCACTTTGGGCTCGCGCCTTTGGGCTCGATACAATTATGGCGAGCTATTTGGAAGTGGCCAGGCCCTCAACGTATACGGATCTTCCTTAGGCTGCTCGCGAAAAATCGGCTTCTAACTAATGTGGAGAGACTACGGTGCCACCTGACGGCTGATGCTCTTTGCGGGATCTGCTCCCAGGCGGAGGAGACGGCATTGCACGTAGTCCGCGACTGCCCGATGGCTGCTGCAATTTGTCTTTAAACCACATAAGGTTTATACTTTCTTTTTACGTTCCCAATACTCCACATCATCCAAACCTCATTCTCACTCCTAATATCACAAACCTCCAATAACCATAAACCTCACAAACCTTCTTTTAATGGCCCCACATGTTTCCCACTTACTTTATTTTATACATCAATTTAATTCATATTTACTAAAGATTTTACTCATTATTTTTTACAATGACATAGTTATTATATATCATAATAGTACTTATAATTATTTTTTAAAATATTTTTTACGTACAATTATTATTTCAAAAAAGAAAATAAAGAGAAATTTTATTACACATAAACCTTACAATAATATAAAATATAAAAAATTACATGCAAATAAAAATTAAAAATTGCGTACATAAACTCATCGATATATTACTCCTAATAATCAGGTTTGTTCCATATATGTTCAACTAGGTCATGCCTAAGTTGATGATGGACTTGTCTATCTTGCATTTCAGCTTTTAGGCAAACAATATTGCCCCTAATGTTTTATAGACGGGCAAGTTTACAAATGGACAACTAAAGATAAGTCTTCTATTTTCTCCACTACACAAATCACGATTGAAATAAACTTATGGATCACATAAATCAAAATGATAATTCAACTTTATTTTGATGTGTGACAACTCAAATTTTGAAAAACTTTTGTGTGGCAAACTCACATGCGTGTACCAGACCATTTGTGTTGATGTCTTCACATTTTAAAAAGAAAATTTATGGAGCAACTAAAAAATAATAATCATGAGTAAAGTATAAGATAAAAATAGAATTAATTTAGTATCCGAAACAAAAAAATGAATTCAATTATATTGTATAAAAAGAAGTTAGATGTGTTGTCGAAAAAAAAAACAAGTGAAAGCGAGCTTCTTTCGAAGTAGAACGAACGCCAACAAACAATCATCGAACAAGTTAGAAGTAAACGTATGTTATTTTCGTTAAAATAAATTTCGTATTGATTTAGTATCCGAAAAAAATAAAATTGAATTTAATTATATTGTATAAAAAGAAGTTAGATGTCTTGACGAAAAAAAAAACAAGTGAAAACGAGCTTCTTTCGAAGTAGAACGAACGCCAACTAACCATCCTCGAACAAGTTAGAAGTAGAAGTATGTTATTTTCATTAAAATAAATTTGGTATTAATATAGTATCCAAAAAAAGATTGAATTCAATTATATTGTACAAGAACGAGTTAGATGTGTTGTTGAAAAAAAATAAGTGAAAACGAGCTTATTTTGAAATAGAACGAACGCCAACAAACAATCCTCGAACGAGTTAGAACTAAAAATATGTTATTTTCATTAAAATAAATTTAATATTAATTTAGTATGCGAAAAATAATTTATATTTTAATTACAGATGAAATGAAATACAAATATAATTTATAAAATATATTAGAGTATATGTTTAAAATGTAGAAAAAAAATGTAATTAAATAAATTCATAAAAATAAATCTAAATGAAAGAAGAAAAAGAGCTGAAATTTCCATATTGCATTCACTGATTCACAATACTATTTTATTGTATTTATTATGTGTGGGGCCAACAAAAACCCAACTTCCCATTTGCACTCCCGCTTTGAAAACGTCACACTGCCCCTTATCCCTTTTAATGACAAAATCTGCCAACATGGCCTTTCCAAACTTGTCCAAAAGTCACGGTTAAAGTTGCTCTTATAATAAAAAATTTAATACTACCAACCACTGTCAATTTTTTATTCTTGTTAAAACACATATTTACATGTTAGAAAACAACCAGTAACAACCAAACAATAATGTCTTCTCATCTATAGA